TTCAGCTCTGAGTCTGGAAATTCAGGTTTCAGCCATGGCTAGGAGGACATTTGCACAATTAAATCTTGTGCCCCAGCTGTACCCGTTCCTTGAGACATCAGATCTGGCCATGATCACACATGCCTTAGGAGATTATCACACTGCCCTTTCCTGTCCTTTCTTCCTGATCTGGGCTTGGGATGTAAATGTTCATATGCAGATGAAAGTTTCCCCTTTTCAAGACTGCCCCTCCTTTCCCCTCCATACCAAGCATTCTCACAAATCTGACCTTGATAGCTCACAGCTTGTTTTTCCTCCCTCATTATCTAGTGCCATGAAAGATAACTCTCCTTCCACCTAATTGTTAGTGTGGTTATGCAGCATGTGGTGATCTACGTCCGTGCAGCACCAGTGTCACCACCTTTTCAGATGCAGGCAGTAGCTTGTCAGCTGGAGAAGCACCTCTCCCCTTCCAGAACGAGTGAAGAGACTGTACAAACAGACATCTCTCAGATGAGGCTTTCATCTTAGTTTCTCTGTGTACAAGGCTATATACATGATCCACCAACATATGACAACACGACAAACACCTACAACCACCACCACACATGTGTCCAGAAGCAACTCCCTTATATAGCCAGGGCTCCATGTGGCCTTCTGGCTCTGCCTCTTCCTGCCAACACCTGTCACTCAACCTGAATGACTTTGCAGTTTTGCAGCACTTGTCAGTGCTTTCCAGCACCAGATGACCATCTGCACAATGTCAGTTCCCATCACACAGCATGACTCACTATGACTCAGCATCAGTCAAATGCTGTGTCATCATGGCTGCTTATGATGTCCTGTTACTCTCCACTTTGTACGTTTTCCCCTGGGACACTTTCCTAACATTAATTGTGTAATACATCCCATCATCCATTATACAAAACATTTGCAAAATATATGGTTAGCAAGCACTGTAGGAACTACGACACTGGCATCCTGCATTAAAAATAAATTAATAATAATAATCCACCTAAACCCTGGTGGCACAGTGGTTAAATGCCTGTCCTGCAGCCACTCACTCATAGACCACAAGGTTGCGAGTTCAATATTAGCCAGGGCTCAGGCTTGACTCAGGCCTGCATCCTTCCAAGGTCGCTAAAATGAGTATCCAACTGTTGGAGGGCAATGAGCTTACAGTTGTAAACCTCTTAGACACTGCATAGCGCGTTATGAAGCGGTATATAAATGAAGCTGCTTTGCTTTTTTGCTTTAAACAGTGACAAGAAAGAAAGGAGGGGAGTGGGCTTTATGGTGGGGAAAAAAACTTTGTAAAAGGAAGCTTCTTAGTCAGAGGCTTTGTTGACTACGCCTGTAATTTTCAAAGAAACAAGTAACAAGAGGATGTTCTTGGCATTCACAGAATGTGTTGGTATAGAAATCAAAGATATTTTGCATTGATATGAGTGTCTGTATTTCTGCAGTATCTCCTCCATTCTTCTTCTACTTGTTGTTTTTGTTGTTTTAATTTTATTTTTATATAAAACTTCATCACAAATAAGCAATTGGATACAATAAGCATAGGGCCATATCTTTGCCTGCAGATAATCATAACAGCTGTGGTTCCGAATCTGAACATAGACTCACAAGAAGTTTGCAAAATTGTCACAAGAAGAGTCCATCCATTGGTGACTTTCAAAATCCATCCAATCATTCTTCTCCAGGAGTTGTTGCGAGATGTGTTGTTGTTGTTGCTGCTGACATTTCGAAGTAAAGCTCCTCATTGTGCATCTAAGCATAAATCATTTTATATTAAACTAGTTATAATAGTTCATGCCTCTCACGAGCAGGTCCTATTGAGATGGCTTCCCATACTTGTTTCGATAATAGAGGTTGTAGCATGTTCTTCAGAACTATTTCCATGTGGTCAGACCCATTCTGTTGGATCTAGCCTGCTTATTGCAAAACAGAAATATCCTAGAGTGCTGTGACCTATTCTAAAAGGACAATGCTGCCTCATGCTCCGTTAATGAGAAGTCCATGGCATACATATGATAAGCTTTGTCATCTTTTGTCTGCAGATCATAGACCCTGCATTTTAATTTACTATCTATAATGCTTTCTTAATGAGTTCCAGTGGATAACCATTGAAACATGCCACTGCAGCTGCCGATGTGATTATGGGAGAGAGTCCATTATTTGATTTACGTGATAGTCTGTTATGGTAACTAATATCTGAGGATGGCATACAATAGGCAGTAAGGTGGGAGGCAGGATATTCTCCATTTAAACCTCACTGGCAAAGGAATAAGAAGCTAAATCAATTTATTTTCCCCATATGTGTGCAAGCTGCTAATTGAAATCTAGTGGAATTGCTGTGGATGCTTAAATCCTCATGGGACTGCAGTGCGTTTTGTTTCAGGAAAGTTCAAGCAAAACCAATAATGCAAGAAGGTTAGGATTCTTCTCTACCCTCCCTCCCCCATTCCACTCTTTCTGAATGCAAATTACTTTTCTGTATCGGTGCACAGAAGCTCCATTACTGTACAGGCCTCAAAATAGAAACAGATGGAGGAGATAAAACAACAAAAACAGATGGGCAGAAGTTGAAATAGTAGGATGAAAAAAATAATGTTTCAGTGATGTTTTGGGGAGGCTGTTTTGATTTGCGGCGTTTATTTTGTCCTCATTTGGCAGTGCAGTATAAACTTAAATGCCCCCGCCCCAGTCTGCTGTATACTTCCAGTGATGCCACCTTAATTTGAAATAAATTAGGGTTGGATCTAAATTGCTCTAGTCAAATAGGGATATGTGAAAATTTTCCACTCCCCCAACACAGGTATGTTTTCTGGACAATTACCAGACATTTTTTACATTATATTTTAGTGTTACAGTTCACAACATTTGTGCCCTTTCCACACCACACACAGTTATATAATTTGTTAAGTTTGATACCACTTGAACTGCCATTGTTGCATCCTGTGTTCTAGGATTTTTAGTCTGTGATAGTTTGTCATGGTCCCTGCCAGAGAGCTGTAATACCTCACCCAAACTACAAATTCTAGGATTCCACAGGATTCAACCATGACAGTTACAGTGGTGTGAAAGTGCTATAATTGTGCAGCATGAAAGAGATGGTTAGTTGCATTAATAGAATAATCGCTTCCAAATGTCAAGAAGTGATTCCTTTGCATCCCTTCTGCATTATTCAGAACATGTCTGGAATGGTTGTGGCCACCCTACTTCAAGCATCATACAGACAAAAGGTAATTTGTTTCAAAGGGAGACAACAAAAGATGGTCAAGGATATGCGAAACATGTTCTTTGAGGAAAGGTTAGAAGAACTGGTAATGCAGAAGAGGGCATAATAGCTCTCTTCAGAAGTTGAGGAAGTTGTTTGACTGTACTACCCAGAATACCCACGGAAGTTTGGGTCTAAAGAGTAAATTTTCCAAACTCTGAAAATACCTGGAAAGCTGTGACATAGAAAAGGCAAGGATTTTTCCTTCATGACCCAGAATGTAGGACTAGGTCTAACAAACTTAGGTTACCAAAAGGGTACAGTATATTCCAGCTGAACATTAGGGGGGAAAAGATTTGGCAGTAAGAGTCATAGAGTAGTGGAACCAATTCCATAGAGGGGTAGTGGGTTCCACCTGGATTTTTTCAACTGAGCATGGATTTGTCCTTGCGCTCTACAAACAGGCTTGCAATTTTAAAAGTACTAAAAGAAGACTTGAGTCGCCAGAAGAAAAGACACATACGATCACTTGTTTACATTACATGCTGGTAGAAACCATGTTAGTTTGGATCATTTGGTAGCATAAGCTTTCATACTTCATCAGTAAGCTTGTGCTACCAATTTCTTTCTCTCAGGCTTAAAGATGCTACAAGAATCTTTGCGTTATATGTATAATTCAAGTTTAGACATAATTATTATAATTTAAATGGAAACACAACATGTCTTGCAATTTTAAGGAAGGTTGTGTTTAAAAGATCTTGTGTCTGTGGTTTCCCAGTCTGTTGTCTGGGACCATTTCAC